GCCATTGGCCAGGAGTTCTGAAGGTGGTGTCTGGGTGCCATATATCCTTGTTTCAAATGCCATTGCCAGAAGATGGAATGCAATTTGGAGGATCCATGAGCTTGCATGGAAACCACATGACACTGGCTTGTTTTCATGGGCCTAATTTCCGCTCAAAATCGTGGGCCTTATTTCACCTTGAAGAACCAAATATTGCATTTTGGACAGAAGCCCAGAAAGTTTTAGAAGATGGTAATTTAAACTCTTTTGTCACTTCTTTAAATTCTTTCAAATTTTTAAAAATTTGTTGATATATAAGAAGAAATCAAAGAAAAGTTTGTTTTCTTGAAGTCTGAATCAAGATTATTTTCAAAAATATACTACTTACCTAAAAGTAATCTGTTTCCTCTCCATCTTTAGCACAATTTGCTTTATCTGTGAAATAATACAAAGTACCTTTTCAGCTATATTGGATATGTCCCTGATAATATGCCTACAAAGTGGATTGTCTGACATGTTAATTGCTTGTGTTTATGTAGTCCTCTCTCTCTGTATGATGAATTTGGATGGTCTTACTGCTTGTATTTGTCTTAATATTGAGAAGTTTTATTGTCTGTAGCTACTGAAGGTGTAATTTTTCTGTTGTTTGCAAGCTTTCTACCAGTTTTTATTCCACTGGCATACTAATTGTTCATGTTAAATACCTGCACGAAGAGAGGGAGAGAAAATCCCACTATCCTCACCAAACTGCTTTTGCTTTTTTTTTTTTTTCCTGTCTCCCCCCTTCAATCCAGGTACTAGTGAACACTCCACATATATTGTGCAAACCCTGGACTTCCATTTGGGCCACAACACGATGGTGACAAAACCCTGTGGAGCCCTCGAAAGTCCCATGGCCACAATCACGAAGATAACGCGGCGGCGCCACGAAAATCCCCCCCATGGAGTTGCCAGTGTGAAAGAGTGGTTCAATTATGTTACAGCCACGAGGAATGAAGGTTAGAGTCGTGTTCATTAAGTTTGGGGATTGATCTGCTGGCAGATGTTTCTCTTTAAAAGCTGTTAAAGTTGAAGTGGCCTACAGGGAGAATGGATGTTGTTTCTTCCTGAGGACATTCTGGTGAACTGTGGAATGAAGCAGCGGAATATGCTGAAATTCCTCTTTCACCCTATGCAAAAAAAGTGTTGTTTCAGCTGAGATCTTGTAATGTAAGGATATATTTTCACTGTATATCAAGTTTTTATGGATTAAGTTGAAATAGGAATATACTTTAGCCTTCCACCACCACTTACAACTAACCCTTAAATTATTTGTCTGCCTAAAGCTTTTTCAACCTTGAGCTGTTTCTAGGCCTTAAAACATTTTCAATCACATCTTTAAGTCATTGTTAATTGGAAAATAAAACCTTCAAGCTGTTAAAATAAATCTGAAAATACAGTTATTTCAGTCACAAACTATAGAATCAGTAGTTGATGTTAATAGAACTTCTGTGAAATACATATGGCGTATAGTGAGAAATGAACAGATGATAATTTCTTGGAAAAGTGTTTTTAAATGATTGATATACTATTCTAATATTTATTCCTTTAGAAAGACACAACAGGAGGTAGTGGTTGAAGTTCACAAACAGAAGGCCTGTCTGTTAGATGTTTTCGTGTAGCCCTGTGAAGGATTTAAGTATATAAACAACATTTGGTTGTTCGACCTTTTCTAGCCATGCTTTTGGGAGCAGGCTCAAAGATAGGATCTTCTTAGTAATTATACAGTTTTACAAGTGACCTTTCTTTTAACTTTTTTGCCTTGTCACAATCAAACATTTCCCATTGTTCCTGCAGAGTTGAACCTGCTTCGGAATGTTGATGCCAACAACCCAGAGAGCAGCACAACAGTGAAAAGCTCCAGCTTGCTAAGTGGCTTCAGAGGTGGCTCCAGTTACAACCACGAAACTGAAACCATCTTTGCATTGCCAAGGATGCAGCTGGATTTTAAATCCATCCATGTTCAAGAGCCCCAAGAGCCTTCATTACAAGGTGCAGGAAACATAGTTTGTTTTTCTTGGTCTAAAACTATATCTCACTAATGAGGAGTTAAATACAAGGGTAATGTGCTGGTAAGAGAAGAGGATTTAATCTGAGAATCTGCAAGAGAGGATAAAATTTCATGTGGAGGAACATTTCATTTTGTGTTTCTACATTAAACGTAGAGGGAATTCTGTTAAGAGAGTGAAGGTCTAGTCCAGAGACTGGTGACTATAGACTAAAACTACACACTGGCTGTGTCTAGGGGGTTGGTTTTCTTATATTTATTAAAATCTTAGAGAAGAGGGCCATTCTCAAAATGGGAATGTGAGATAGGAGCCTAAATTCTATGCTCTTGTTTTCAAAATGGTATCTTCAGACTTCAAATCTTTAAATGATTTGTATTCAAATTCTATGTACTTTTACCTATACTGTAAGTGCTTGTAATTGTATTAATACTACTATTTTTATCTGACTGTAGATACAAGTGTTAAACCAAAGGTGGAATGCAGTGTAGTAACTGAATTTACAGACCACATCTGTGTAACTATGGATGCTGAACTGATCATGTTTCTGCATGACTTGGTGTCTGCTTATCTGAAAGAAAAAGAAAAAGGTGAGTTGTTGTTTTATGAGGTAACACTTCTCTGACAATCTGCAGCTATTAGATTATTTGACAGTAAATATAGTCTGTCGTAATCTTGCTCCTCTTCTGACACCTGGTGTTTAGTTTAACTTTCTCTTTGTGATATGGTATAGACAAATGGCAAACTGTTTTAGGAAGCTTTATTATTTTTATTGTAATCCTTTCACCAGTGGAGTCCTTTCAAGACATGCATTTTTCTGACCTCAGAATGCTTTATTTTTCTACATGAATATGTGCGGTTGCAGCATTCAAATTTGGTTATGTTCATTCTTAAATAATATGTGGTCTTCACTAGAAATTCTGTAAAACTAAACCACGAAGTGGTTCTCTCTGTTTTGAAATCTGTGCCTTTGTTTTATTTAAATTCAAAGAGAATTCAACCAAGCTGCTTGAGACTGACTAATGTGGGGTTTCTCCTCTCTCCACTTTGCAGCAATTTTTCCTCCTCGCATTTTGGCTGCTCGACCAGGGCAGAAGAACTCAGTTGGTGTTCTGGAGGACAGCTCCACTGACAAGGAGGCAGAGGAAAGCATTACTTACACTACAGTTGACTGGAGAGAATTCATGTGCAATACTTGGCATTTGGAACCCACGCTCAGGTAACAAACAGCTTTATCTGCAGTCTCTTAGGCTGTGCGTTAACTGATAGATTAGAATTTACGCAGATTAAGGATACTGTTGGAGGCTCTTCAAAATCAGGTAAGACTAAACTTAATAATTTCACTCTGTCCTACAAGAGCCCATTCACTTTCATGTTTTTCATCATGCAGTTTTCCATTTTTAGCATTCCAGTTTTAGTTTTTGAACACCTCAAAATAAAAAAAGCATGATATACTCATTGCTATATGGCACTTTAAACTTAGCACAAAAGAATAGTGTGTATGGCAGCAACTCACTGCTCCCTGTATATAATCATTGAAACTGACTTTTCTGTATGTGGGGTTTTGTTTGGTTTTTTTTAACATATAAAAACAACACATGAGCCCAGGCCAAACAAATCTTGACATGATTGGCGTTTTGTGTTAGCAGTAGTAATAAATCAATTTAAACGTGATCTGCAGGCAGCCCAGTCAGGTTTTTCGCCTTATTAAACATCTTCTTCCTTGGAGAGGCTATTTCATTGATCACCTTGAGCTTATCTGTATAAATCAAGTGTGAAACAATGCTTGTTGGACTTAAGTTGGTCCTAAGTAACAGTGGGGAAAATCGATTTTTGTTTATATAAATGCCTTTTGCCATATTTATATATTTGAGATTGAGTTCTCTATTCATTTGGGGTTTTATAGATTAATATCCTGGACTGGGAGAAAAATTGATCCCGTTGGTGTTGATTACATCCTCCAAAAGCTGGGCTTTCACCATGCAAGGACTACTATCCCTAAATGGCTGCAGCGTGGTGTCATGGATCCTTTGGACAAAGTTTTGTCAGTCCTTATAAAGAAACTTGGTACTGCACTACAGGATGAGAAGGAAAAGAAAGGAAAAGACAAAGAAGAATATTAAAAATACAATGTGACAACCGTAACTCCGTTTGATTTTATCAAAGTGTTTTATTATATTTTAAGAACTTAAATATGGTTTAAAGAGAAACCTAACAGCTTTTTGCTACTCTATTTAAAACTTACATTGTGAGTAACTGTTTACCGTGGTACTTGATACCATTCTGTATTTGAAGTTATTGCATGATGATGATGATGATGACCAATGTACATTCTGTGAAGGAATAGCTGGAACACTGTAAATCTGCTCCTCAGCGTCCGTTTTATTATGTGCAATATGATCCTGCATCTTTACAATACTTGCAGATTAACTGTGAATTTTCTTAAAAGTTTTATTTGCCATAACACAAACCCCTTGTTGATGTGACCAGTAATTGATTTGTCAATGTAGACTGGTGTAAATTATATATATATATATATAACTTATGAAACTGTGATTGCCTTAGTGCTAAAAATCATGAAGTTTATTACACTTGTAATAAAATTTAACTACTGTACAGGATTTTATTTTTTTTTCAGTGAAGAAAGGTGAACAACAAGAAGAAAGTGTTTTAAGTGTAACTTTGCATAGAGTGTGATTTAAATGAGGTCAATCCCAGTGACCATGCATCAGGAGCTTTCTTGGAAACTAACTATTTATACATTTTGGCAAACAAGGGAATTAGTGCTCATTGCCTCCAAGTTACATAGTTCTCTGATTAATTAGTGTTCTATCTTTTATTGGTTAATTGTTCTCTCGCTTTTCACGCTAATTAGCCTGCATGCTCAGTCTGTCTCTTTTGAGCTGATGGGTTTCTTGGATCAGTGGTCTGGGGTAGTCATGATCTGCCCCTGATGGAATTACCTTTTACCCAGCTGGGGCAGATTTCACTACACTTGCTGTTAAATTCTGCATTCTTTGTGCCTACTATCAGTGGTATATCCTTCTCCCCAAGCTTTGTTAACCTCCCCCGAGGTCTGAGATGATCGGAGCGTGTCAAGCCCCTAAACCTTAACGAGGCAATTCTACCAGCAAGTGATTTGTTTTTTCTAACACCTGGACATCACTTTGAGCTTCTTAATTGCTGTTTCGCGGACTAAGTCCCCCTTCTTGTCGATTAGGCTTGAACATATACAAAGATCAAACGTTAAAGACCACCCTTTATTAAGATAATGTCACATATCCCTCATGCCGCAAGAGCAGCCCCGCGCTCCCCTCAGCTCCCCCCTCAGCCCTTCGCGCCTCGGCCGCTCCCCGTCGCCGGAAGCTGCCTCACACGAAATGGCGGGAGGGGCTGGGCGGCGACCTCCCCGCCTCTAAGAGCCCGCCGGACAGAGGTTCTGGCAGGGTGGTCTGAGGTGTTGTGAGGGCTCCTCGGCTGTCCGAACCCACCCCCTCAGGGCGGTTTGAAGTGCTGTGAGGGAGCCTCGGCTGTCCGAACCTATCGCCTCAGGGCGGCAGGGACCTCCCTCCCCCGCGCCTCGACCCTCGTTTCCCCTCAGGCGCGCTCCGCCTGCCCGCCGGCTGCGGGCGCTGAGGAACCATCCCCAGCGGGACGAACCCAGCAGGTGAGAGTGTTTTTCCGAGTTAAAGGAGGAGGGGCTCAGGTACAAACCCTTCAGCTGGGGTCCTGGAAGTTTGAGAGGGACCCGTTTTGCTGTGTGCGTGGTTTGCCTCACTCCGTCGAGAGCCGGTTGAGGATTTGTCGTGTCCTTGGAGCTGGTTGCGTGAGGGAAGGTGGTTAACTAAAAGCAGAGGTGGCTTCCAGCCTGGTGGTGTCGGATGGGAAGGGAGGGTTTGGAGGGGACACCGGGTCAGGGAAGGAAGGAGTTGGAAGGACTCGAGTTCTGGGTTCTGCCCCAGCCTGTGGGAGGCAGAGCGCGAGTTGTTTGTGGTGCTCTTGCGAAGCAGCTCAGCTGGGAAAGCTGCAGTTTGCGGGGCGTCTTTACCACTCACAGCTTTACTTGTTAAAATTTCCTTAGGTTGGTAGAAAATGGCGAGCAGCAATGGCTGTTTTCGGGGTGCTAGGGTGCCCGCCTTTGACACCACACCAAAAAGGATTTTGCCACCTGAGGGTTTCAGGCGGGCACTGAGGAAGAAACTCGAGGAGCCCGTGACTGCAGGGCTGAATCCTCCACCTTCCGAGTGGCGCAGTCAACCAGAGGTGATGCAAAATCCAGGTATAGTTTTCAGTTTATAAATCAGGATTAGCTGCTAATGGTGTTGAAACCCTCTGCTTGTTTTTCTTATCACTGTATTTTGTTCAGTGACTTTCTCAGCGTCTCGTCCTAGTTGTTCCTCCTCTCGCTGTGTTTTTGCGTGCTGCAGGTTGGCTACTGATTTGCTGTAGGCTTTTGTAATTTGTCTGTGGTCTGCAGCATTTCATGATTATGAAGTTCAAGTTAGACATTGAAAGTAGTGTAGAGGTATAGGCTATGTTTTGGCAATGTTCTGCTGCATGAGTTTTAGTTGATATCGTTGAGAAAACTGCAGTTCCAGATGTCCAGGATGTGTTTTCAATCCATCACTTCAAATAGCTGTATTGAGATAAAGACACCTATTTATGCGACTTGAAATTAAGGATTTATCTTAGTTCTTCTTGGTTGGAAGATAACTTGCGCCTGAGTATATCACACCCCTGAAGCTATAGATTCTATCCATCTAGTGGTTGCTGAAACTTTTACAGTGTCTTACAGCAGAGAGTTCCACTGCTGCATAGTTTCATGTGAAAAACCACAGGCTCTGCTGTTTTGAATCTGCCATCAGCAACTTCGGTTGGATCATTGGGTTACAAGAGGAGGGAGGGGGAGATATGTGTTGTGTTTGTTTGTAATAACTGTATTCAGAGGTTGCTGGATTTACTATGGGAAGGCAAAGCTTTACTGCTTTTAAAAGGATATACGGACCTTTTCAGAATTGCTGGTGGTGGTAATGTAGGATTCAGTGCAAAGCAGTAGCGCTCTACGTCTTGTTGCTTTTTGTTCTTCTAAGAAGCATGTATTGTAAACAGATTTAAACTCTCAGCGTGTTCCGTTCTCAGCTTTGTTTAATAACCTTTTCTTTTTAAAAAGGGGCACACGCACCCCCGTTGTCAGCACTTCCTTCACAGAAACACCTAAAGGAGTTGACTGCAAAATATAAAGAGGGAGCAATAAACTCAGTGTCTGCCTTGCATCTGTTTGCCCAAATGCATAACATACAACTTCAGTTGAAAGAAACTAGTGTGGCAGGTACATACTTCTTTTCCTAAATACTTGCTAATTATTTGCTTATCCTTGAGATTGTCTGGATTTCTGCAATTAGTATTGGTGGCACTAGTATAGATTATTCTTTTTATTGTTGGTTGCACTACCCTTCGCATATGTTGCTTTTTGGCTGCCCTTTTATTGCCTACGCAGCTGTGTCTCGTGACAAAGTGCCACAGAACCTGATTAGATGAACTGTGTAGAATTCTGGCTGTTGCCAGAACTTTGTGAACTGTGCATAACATGAAAGCCGCTGAAATCCTCATGGAGGTGAAAGATACGAGTTGTGTTTTGCCAAAATTGTCTTTTTTGTCTTGTGTTTGTTCTAGGCATTAATATAAGAGCATAAGGCTATGGATAATTTACCTTAAAATAATTTCAGTGATTGCAGCTGCTTTTTTTCTTCCTTTAAAGGTGATATCATCAGGCCTTATTTTGCCTTTTGTGCTGTGGTAAATGGTGTTTGCTACAAGACTGGGCTGGGAAAAAACAAGAAGGAAGCTAAATTAAATGCAGCTAAACTGGCTCTTGCTGAGCTACTTAGCTTGGAGAATACAGAGGAAAACTCTGAAGATTCAGGTAAAGATCCTTTTAACACCTAATAAGAGCTTAAAAAGCTTGGCCTAAAGGTTTTCTATGTAAAACCTCTGTGGGTTTATTAACTGCTTCAGCATCAGGGCCTTTGTCAGGTTTTTATTCCTTTGGGCAGATCTGTCTTTTGGTTCTGAAACTCGTTTTTTCCTTTGTCATTTGTGTATTATCAGTTGGTAGTACAGAGCCAGGAATTCTGAAGGAATTACTTGTTGTTTCATTGGATTTGCTACTCACCAGGTACAGCAACGTGAAGTACATTTCAAGTGGTGTTGATTTTTTACAATTAAAAGGGTTCCCCACTGAGTTATTACTTTAAAGAGAATTCAATTACTATAATATTTATCTTCTTTCAAGGTTTGCTGTCTAAAGTCGCAAGCTTACAAGGACTTCAAACAGAAAAGTAAATTCTTAGGGAATTAGAATCTTTGACTTGCTGTAAATAAGTGTGAGATTCACATTTAGAAATAAGCAGTGTCCATCTCACTTCAAAATTTTGTTAAATTCTTAGATTTTCCTGGTGTTCCTGCTGAGCTCCAAACTCCAGCAAACTCTGCTTGTGTTTCAAGGACCTGTGTTGGTAAGGAAGAATCTTGTTTTTCTCTGTTGATTCAATTACCCAGCAGATCCTTTTTTTGTTATAGTTCTTCTTTCTAATACATTTAGTGATCTCTGTATGGAACTGTTATTTTAAACATCTCTTTGAAGAAGGCTGTAAGAATTAGTGTCACTAAGTTGGTTCCACAAGTGGAAGCTTCATTAAATGGCTTGAATTTAGGTGGTGAACTGATGACAGAAATAAACAGTATAAATAAAAAGTATTTCTGTCCTTACTTGAACTAGTGTGCAGTAGGTGATCAAAATTGATCCATGTGCTGCATTTTTATAATGAATGATGAAAGCATAAAGTATTTAGGTGTTCTTGAACTTATTTTTTAATCCTGATAATCTTCAGAATCCCAAAAGTATGTGTTGATAGTAGTGCTTACACCATGTGTTTAGGTTTATAATTTTTCAAGTGGTTTTTCACATCTGGTTTTTTGCCCCACTACTTGCAAATTTGTCTTACTGGTTTCTGTTGCTCTATTTAGGAGGACGGTCTATATATCTGAAACTTTCACAAACACTGGAAGAAGTATTTACCAGCCTGACTGCCCAGCACCCCGAGTACCAAAGCTGTGGGAGTTCACTGGCTGCCTTCATCATCGAGAAAGGCAAGTCTGTTTTCACTGGGAGCTTTGGGGAAGCCTGGGCTGTTCCCAGAGAGCAGCTTGGTGGGCACCTGGCAGCCACCAGAGCAGGTGAACCTCCCACAACGTCTCTCTTTAGGTGGACAGCACGAGGTTGTGGCTCTGGGAACAGGGGAGTGTAATTACAGCCGGCGCCTGGAGCCCTGCGGCAGAGTGTTGCACGACAGCCACGCCATCGTCACTGCCAGGCGTTCCCTGCTTAGGTGAGGAGGTGCCTACACACAGTTCCCTTTGCAGCCAGTTCTTCTCAGTTTTACTTTTGCACTTGCATTTTATAGCTGGTATCTTGTGGATTGTTTTTGAATCATGTGAATTAAATGTGTATGTATTAGTAAGCAAAGTATTTTTTTTTGACGTTTACTGTTACTTTAACGCTTTCTTGTAGATATTTGTACAGACATCTCTTGCTGTTCTATAATAAAAACCCATCAAAGGCAGAGAGATCCATATTTTGTACAGCACCAGGCTCCAAACTGCTCACCCTAAAGCAAAATACAACTCTCTCTCTCTACATGAACCAGCTTCCAAAAGGAACTGCTCAGTTAAAGTCAGATTTGTAAGTACCATGGTTTTCTGAGATGTTGTAAGTGGCAGATTGGTTATTACAGAAAACTATCTGTTAACCTCCTTCTCATGCAATTGAAATACTAATAAATCATGAATTTAACCCCTGATCAAGTGGGTGTGATGACTTAATGTCATCCTTTGCACCACAAGATTAGAGCACAAAAAACCTTGAATTGAAAGAGAAATCTACTGCTATGCTTTGTAGATGAAAGGTAATGAGAGAACCTCGGTGGGACAAATACACTCCTGTGCTTATCTTTACACTTCTAACTTCTGTTAAATTTCTGAAAGTTGGGATTTTTTTTAATAGTTTTGATATTCAACAGCAACAGTCACAACCAGTTCATTGCAGGAGCTCCTTCTGCTAGAACTGCAGGATGTTTTAGGTGACTTTCATTGTTGTAGCTCCTGCACAGACTTGGTTGATGAGACTGGATGCATTTGTAAACTACCCTGAAATACATAATCACAGGTCACCGCTTTCTCTTTTTGCCCCTTCTGGTGTGTCCTGTCTTGACACAAACTCAGAGAAGTATTTTCTTCTAATACAGTGGATTGACTTATGTATAGAGTTATTTAAAGATATTTTTTATGAGGGAGCTACTTGCAAGTAGTGCATTGAGTAGCAAAGTGAGGCCACTTACTAACAGGTGGTGTTACCTTACTTAAACCAAAAATAGGTGTTTGTTCTCTAATAATATATTAGATACCACTTTGCAGTAATCTCTCAGAGTGCTTTCTCACTGAAATCCATTCTCATCTTACTTGTAGACATCTCACTCCACAATCTGTATCTGCTTACGAAGCCAGTGAACAACTGAGTCTCCATGTTGCTCTGGAAGGCAGGATTTACCTGGCTGTTTGTTGTCCCCCTAAAACTGTCCGAGTGAGCAGCATGTCGGGCAGTGACAAGCTGACAAAATGGGAGGTGGTTGGTCTTCAGGGAGCCTTGCTGAGTCACTTCATTGAACCAGTGTATATCAACAATATTCTTGTGGGTAAGTTTGATGCAAATTTCAGTGGGGACTTGGTATGTTTTCGTGTTCCAGTTTGATTAGCATTTTATAAAACATGAACTAAACCAAGATAATTCTTTAAAGAATTACAGTATTTTTCTGAGAACGAGCTAAGGGTGTATATATTTTTCACTCATCTTCGAAATGCCCTAATGTAAAACTCAGTCATTGTGGGTTTCTTTTAGCTTGCCAGATTGCCAGCCCTTCCTTTGCTGTATATTTGAGTAACAGAAGAAATTCAGCTACTTCTAATGAATCAAGTTTTATATATTGAGAAAAAAATCAAATGCAACAAATGCTGTGTTTACTCTTCACTGAAATGGTGACTTTAAGGTGACAGTTTTTAGTGATTTCATTACTTGAAAGCAATAAAAAAACTTCTCAAATGCTTACTTAAGCAACATTCAAAGTAAACATAATAATATGTAATTATTATTAGCCTTATAATAGAAATATTGACACTTCCTTGAGATGCAGTGGACCAAAGTATATTTATTTATAGGCAGTCAGCAGTGCTGTTGGATGTGGAGTAATGTGGGCAAACTCCCTGGCATATCTTCTAATCCGGAATATCCAAGTTCTGTTTTAGTGCTGTCTTCTGCAGGGAGCAGAAAAAGAATTGATGAAAGATAATTATTCAGAAAAGAAGTCATCCAGTGAAAATAATGATGCCTCTGGAGAAGGAAGTGCGAAATCATTTTTGTTCTGTAAATTGAATATTGGAACTCATCTGCTGATCTTTCCATACATTGATTTTATGTGAAAAAATAACTGTAGTGTAATTTCTAAGAATGCAGAAACATCTGCAGAAACATCTACATTCTTAGTTTTTTATTGGGGTTTTTTTCAATTTAATGTACTCATGTGTGACTGATCTTCTGTTTAATAGGAAATGGAAATTGTAAGGATACAAAAGGACTAGAAATAACTATAAAGAAGCGTCTTGATGATGAACTTGTATCAAAGCTTCCCATGCCTTACCTGGTCAACAGATCTCATATTTACTTGGTGAAAGCTGCACAGCCCGTTCAAACAGATTTAAGCCAGCGGTCTCTTAGTCTGAATTGGACGTTGACAGATGCATCCGTGGAGGTTGTGGATGGGATAAGTGGAAAAACCATTGAAAGGTTAGCATTTTTCTTCATTTCCTTGGAAATCATGGTTAACCTAGTTGTTCTGTGCTGATTCATTGGACTATTCAGTTTTTAAGCTATGCATGGAGGCCAGAGCATGAGAGACATTCTCTCCTGTGTTAGCTGAATGCACCCTAGGATGAGATGCAGTTTTAGAGCTCTTGCAACTTCACAGCGGGATACCACAGTTCTTTGAATGGAGATATTTACATATGGAGATATTGTTCGCTGTAGTGCGTGTTTTCACAACACATCAATTAGCATTGGAATTCCAGTTGGGTAGTATTCACAAAGCGTTAAGAGGGAGAAAAAAACACCCTGTGACAATCAGAGCGATCTGCCTGTAATGAGTTGGTTGCTGAGTTGTATTGTTCCTCTCTCCCCGCGGCTGTAGCTCCCCGTTCCGGAGCAGCACCTGCATGGCCAGCCGCCTCTGCAAGGCCGCCATGTTCAGTCGCTTCAGGCTGCTCTCCAAGGAAGCGGGACGGAGTGATCTGCTTCGGATTGCAACCTACCACGAAGCCAAGGTGAGCTGCTGCGGGGAGGGGCAGTTGGACTGAGGAGTCTCCTTAGTGACTGCTCTGAAAGCTGGTGTGATAGCCACGGCTGTCCTTCTGTTTTGTTGACAGCTTCACCTGAACAGCTTGTTAACAATGTGTATGGTTTTTTCCCTCCTGTCAAAACATGCAAGAGACCCTTTTTTTAATGATTCAAAAACTACTTCAAATTGCTTGCTAATTGACTCTTCATGTGTTTAGATTTGCATTGAATGATAGTGAATGTTTATTTTCTGTATAAAGGTAATACTGGAATAGAAAAGACACTGAAAAAAAAAAAGTTTATTAGAACAATTATCTTAGTAAATTTCCAAACATATAAAAAGATGTGTTTTTAGAGTCTAAAACTTCCTCTCATTGTCTGAGAGGAACTGTAAGATCTGAAGTTTCTGTTTTCTACAACGTTTGTGCTTGTGCATATTATATGCTGATGATAAAGAACACAGGTTTCTGTAACCATCATCTCTGTAACCATAATTCTTGAGATTTTTCAGGATCTTCCTTTTTCTTGTTTTAGGCTGAATCTCAACTGTACCAAGAAGCTAAAAGCTTGCTGCAGACCTACTTAGAGCAGCACAGCTATGGATCCTGGATCATGAAGTCTCCACATATTGAACAGTTCAGTAACTGACTGGGAGGTGGATTGTGTGTGAAGTCAGTTTGGAACATCTATTTCAGTAGACTAATAGTTCTGATTAGTAAAATGTTTAATTGTAAGTTTGTATTCAGAGGAAGAAAATCATTCCAGAACTGTTTCTTTTCAGTTTAAATGCAGTTGTGAAATCATCTGTAACAGTTCAGTCTATTCCTAAAGTTGATGTTTTTTCAGAGGTAGGAGTATCCAACAGTTTTGTAATTTCAGCTCCCTCACCCCCACTCACACAATCCCACCTCATGGAGTCACTAACATGTTTTTTTCCTAATTGTTTCAGAATTTCTGTATACTGATTTCTTCTTTTCCCCTACCTTTTTCATATATTTCTTTCAAGAAAGAAAAAAATACCAGTAAAGGCTGGATTTTGTAAAAAAGAAAAAAAAGCTTACCAATGTGAAAATCTGTTTCAGAAACAACAGTGAGCAGTTTGTGCTCTATCTCTGTAGGCATCCATCCTTTGGTAGTTCTTCAAAGAGTATTTTGTGTAGTGTGGGTTTGCCAAATGGCTTTTAGTTTACCATATACTGTTTGTGGTAGAAGGGTTAAAAAGTAGTCTGTGTACTTGCAAATGTGAAACTTCGAGTTACCAGCTGTCAATCAAGTGTGAAGTGCCAATCACTGGCTATTGATGGTGGATTTAAAGTGTTCTACGGGTGTCAAAGCTGTAAGTAGGAAAATAATGTGATGTGGTATGGAAGTCACCAGAAACAAGGCTCCTTCAACCTTTCTGGACTGCCCCAGAACCCGTCAATGTTAGTGCTTGTGGATGAGTTGGACTCCTCCCCACCCTCAGATGACTTCATCACTGTGCTGACAAGTCCTCACAAAATTTTCTGTGTACATGATGATCTGAAAAACGGTACCCATCAAGGGGGAAGTTGCTTCCTTGTGACTTCTGGTAAGAATATGGTAACGTTGGGATAAAGTTGAAAAGGATGTTAAATGCCATACTTGGGTTTTGTGTGGTGATGTGAAATACTACTGTGTTTAAACTACATAATACACTTCGATTATGTTACTTGATTTTTGTGCATCATCCAAGTGTGGAAAGCTGTTACAGGATTCTAAACAAACTCCTCTTTCTAGTATTTCTTTTTCCTTAATCTGATTTTGTAACTAGTATGTGGAGTTGCTTCTGAGAATGATCTTATGCTGGACTTGTCAAGTTGTTGAAACTCACTGACTTGCTACTACTTGGTTCTTGGCCTTTTTGTTTTCGCTAATTTGATCTTTGGTTTTCTGTAACTATCCTTTAACTTGGGAGGTTGTGTGGTGGTGTTTGTTTTGTTTGTGGCACTTAACTCCTCATGCTCTTTGCTCCATGTAATGTGTGTTTTTCTAAGAATGCTGGAGAATGACCATCATATTCCAGGCGTAGTGTTGCCTTTTTTCCAGGGGTGTCAAAAGTTCAATAAATTTCCTTGACAGCGTCTTAGCCATATCTGCATACATATACATGTGACATCTGACATACATTAACATACCACATGTGTGTGAGTGTTCTGTACACTTCTGGGCTGTTTTTCTATATGGACTTAGACTTTTACTGATGTATCAGCACCAAGGTGTTTCCTGTAGTTAACTTAGAAGCCTTAAATATGTACAAGTACTGAGCTTTTTTTGTTATTTCAGCCATTTTGTTGATTGAACAACAAACTGAAACTTCATGGAACTCAGGTGCTGCCTTAGGAAGAGAGAGGCTTGTCAAAACAATGTGTTGACAGCTGTATCCTCGAAGAATGAGTTGATGTCACCAGCATGGATCCAGTTCTTGTATCTGGACCGTTCTTTGATTAAGTAACAGCATGTGCAGAATGCACTGAGCTAATGGAAGCACGCAGGTCTTGTATCCAGGTTTTTCCTCAGCAACTTCAGTAATTCTGGTATATGATCCTACAAGTTTGAGAGACAGGCAGGAGTGCTGCAGTTCCATCCAGGAGGCTGAGGATGGATTCCTGGCAGGTACATGCACTCGGAGCAGGAGTGCATCACACATGTGGGGCTGACACAGATCTGTGGGCACGAACAGCCCCGGCAGCCCCTGGGGCTGTGCTCAGCCTCTCTCTGCTTGAGAAGAACTGACATCTGGGGTGACAACACCTGCACACATGTGTGTATGGGGAAGGGTGGGGTGGTGGTGGGCACTTGTGTGTCCTTTCTGTATGTGCACACACATACAGACACACCTGCTGCACCTCTGCATGACTGTACATGACAGCACACGACTCATGCATGTCAAGTGACACACGTGGTGGTTTAGGAATGGTAACAACTCCAAACTACACCCTGCTCTCTGTTTCTCTCCCATTTTCCCCATATGGAGAGGAAAACGCACAAAAGATCATGGTTTGAGGTAAGAACTATTTGTTGGAAACAGCAGCGAGGTAAGAAAAGGAACAGTAACAGCAACGATGCTGATGACAGTGGTACAAGAAAAATTATTCACACGGGAAAAAAATGCTAATAGGCAAGATTGGACAGCTCCCTCTGCCAGTGTTTTCTTGACTGGAGGAAACCCTTTCTCCTTGAAGAGAGTCCCCCTTTCCCCTGCCCTGGCAATGTGAAGTGGTATAGGATAACCAAACTCTGTGTCCTAGCCATGTCCCCTCTGGGCTACTGCAAAAGTTAACCCTGTCCAGGCCACAGCCAGAGCACACATCAGGTCTGACATACATGCAGCGTAACTCTAACATGATGCCATACTTGCTGAATCTGAAGCCTGTGCCAAATCTGGCATGTCACGTAGGTCACACAGATCTTGTCCCATCTGATGTCACATCGTGTCATGTCACATAGGTGTCAGTGTGTAATGTCACGCCACATCTGGGGTGTCACACTGTCACGTGTCAGATGCATGTCATATAAGATCGTTACATAGATTTCATGTCATAGAGTTTTGTGTGATACTGGAGTTGTGCAATCAAGCAGAAGAAAAAAGTTCAGGAAATCAGTATTTTAAGAGATTCTGCTGAAGTTGTTTTACAACTTCCAGGTAAACGGTATGTGTACTAAAGTTCAACTTGTTACAAATTTTTAGATGCTTCTAATATCCTTTTTCTCTTAAGACATCTTTTAAAGTTTGGGCAATACAGGAGCTGATTGCATAAATACTATTAAAATATGTGAACCTGCCTCTAATTTAGGTGTAAATTTGACAGACAAAAGCAACAAAACCATGTGTATCACAAGCATCTTCCTCACACCTCAGTTAGCTGTATCTATCAGCAGTGATGTCTTGAAGCACTTCCTGGAGTTGCTACCTGGGGAGCAAGCCAGCCCGAAAATGCCTTGAAAACCCACAACAGAGTGTGGCTACTGAGCAAAAGTGATGTGTCAGTCCCCAAAACAAGGGCCAGGGCAGCCAAAGCCTGTCCTTTCCATGGTTGTAGATCTGCAGCTGTCTCCAGTACTGTAGCCCAGCTCCAAAGAAGCTTATGCGGACCAAACGCTGAAATGTATATATTTTCAGTATATTACTGAACTATCATTCTGTTTCCATTCTCTCGCTAATACTGAAGGGTAGAGTCTAAGTCAGCAGCCCTTGGATCAGCTTCTCACTAAATCCTGCAGGCACAGACCTGATGGGGAATCTAGCGGGTGTGTTTAGGGGAGTGTCTGATTTGACTCAGCCAGTGCCAGGCAACCTCAGCCCCACTCAGTTTTATTGTGGTGATCACTTAAGTGTGGGATGTCTTCCAGGGTTCTGCACACTGAACTCCACAGGTGGCAGTGCTAGTCAGAATTCAGTAGTGTTCATACAATTCTTATTCATGCAATTTTTACATTCTTACAGATGTTTTGATGACTAATTTCTGTTTATTTCATAGGCTCGGTACTTTCTTTAAATAGTCTCACTTTGTGTAAGGATTTTTTCAATATTTTTGCATTCTGCTTTTAAGAATTTATCAAATTAAAAGGATTATGTAAAGAGAAGGATTATTCTACAAAAATTGAAAAGGTGGAGTTACTATGAAGACAGTTCTCGCCTGTCTTCTGTGTCCTACTGTATTCATGTATTTCTGTTATTCCTGTTATCTGATTTGAGACGAGGGTGGAGCTTCTCTGTTTGTGGCTGAGGTGACTGACAGTATTTTGCTTTCCTGAGTCCCTGTGGGTGGGGACAGAGCACTCCTTCGCTGTGGGAAGATAAGTAGAGCAGCAGACAGCAGTGCTGTAAGTATTTTCCCACTTTTGGCAGAAAGCTGTCATTAACGCCTATTTTCTCTTTGCAGCAGGCGAGGAAACTGATGTTCTTTCCATTGGTAATCTGGTTTTAAGTGCAAGTACTCCATACCACACCCACCAGGAAAACACATCAAAGACCAAACGATAGGCTGATAACTTGTAGTAAGTAGGCTTACTTTCATCGATTGTAGCCTGCCTTGTTAGCATTGAGTTGCGGCTTTCGCACTGTAAAACGTGCTCCTACTTGTTTCTTTCTGCATAAAATTACAATGTCCGATGACTGACTCCGTCTGCATTTGAAGTAAGCACATTTCTGAGTTTCCACAGAAAGGTTTCTGACAATACCTAAGGCAGTACGTGTCCATGTGGATTTATACTTCCTTTAATCATCAATTTTACATCAGTTCTAACTGGAGTTAAGTATACAAGTGTTCTGGGACCTCAGTTACCTACACAGTTATTTCAGTTGTCTTACTGTTTTCATAATGTTTCCCTGTCTCTGAAGGTTTTTGAGAAGTACACATTTTGCTTACACCAATGAGAAAAGCGTGTCCTGCACAAAGCTTGTGTAGCTGAGGGGTACAAGCTCACAGAAAATAGGTTTTTGGGTTTCTTTTTTGGGGGGAGCCAAATTCATACTATTACTTCTACACCTTGTGCTGTATGCCACCATAAACTGGTATTTTATATTGCTTTAAAAATGATACCTGCAGGTGTCTTGCTTTGAGTCTGGTACCTGTACGCTTATTTTGCTGTTAAATGCTTCACTGGGTTTTTTTAGTGTGTTTTAAAGGAAGTACAGTAGTAAGTCACCAGTGGAAAAAAGACTCTCATTTAACAAAGAAGACTCAAGACATTTTTTATATGTTGATGAAATTTATTAAATATAATCCATTAGTAACTTTTAATCGTTTTTTTCAATAAATAATTGCTTCTCAGTTTATTGACAAGTTTTCCAAAGAACATTTTGAGCCCGTAGGGCTTACAGCAAGGATCGAGTGCGGTCTTAAAACAGACTGTCTTATCACCCACACTAAGAACATACAATGGTCCCAAAATGGACAGCAAGCCAGTTCTATGCCCCAGGGCAAAATATATAAATTAGTCATAATTAAATATTTAAATAAATAACATAGCAATAAAAATAAAAGTGGTTATAAGATTTCTTTTAGCATAGATTGCAGAACGGTGAGCAGTTCTTGGTGAAATGCAGGAAACTTGGTCTTGTCATGAGCTTCACACTTCTTGCATCTAGTTCCTGAGGAAGTATTTTTCTGCAATACAGATATTTTTATTTGTTGGTGATAACTCTTAACTAGCTGATTTTAACTATAATGCATCAACTTAAGACCGTTGCCTACCTCAAGACATCTGAGATTCTTTTGGATGTTTTGAAGATGTCTGCGGTTCTGGCCTTCAACTTCCTTCTCCAGGAGTGTCAGTTCTCTCTGGTAACAGCGTAGAGTCGTCTGGCCACACTCCTAAAAGAGTCAGCAAAATTATTATGTGTGGAACTATTTCCATTTGAAAAATCCCTACTACCTGTTGTTTTTACCCTCCTGGCAGAAACTGAGCTGTTTGTTTTGTTCCTTTGTTCCCCTAAAGTTATGAGATGTTGCATGTGGCCTTATTTCTGCAGTAGATTGTTGCAGCTCTTGAAAAGTGAGTAATCCTTACAGGACACTCAAAGGGTTGGAATATCTCTTGGGAACACAAAGCTGTAAAATTTGTTCCTAAACTGAGTTTCACTCCTGGTTGTCATCTGGAAATCTTGTGTGGCCTTTCTTAGAGGCATTTCCAATGAGTGCACTTTGGTTGCTCTATCTAATATCTGCATCAGACCTGGCTTTTGAACAGCGTAAGTAACTTTATACATCTCCTTTACAAGCTATTTCAGGCACTGAGTGACAGTGTATTAGTAATCAGCTTCAAACATTTGCAGTGAAGCACTGGAGCCCTGAGATAGTTCTGTCTTGATGTTGCCAGCATGAGAGAAAAGTGATGCAGATGAGGAAGTGGTTGCAGGATCTGACTTCAAATCTCTACTGAAACAAAATTGCTGTTAAGAGAGAATTCTTCTGAATTAAAAACTTATCTGGAGGTTCAAAGTAGTTAACAGATAACTTCTGTAAAGATTTTTACTACCTCCCAACTCTAAATAAGTGCTGTTCTTGCTGACTG